GAAGTAGTCACAAAACAAACTGACTATATATACAAACACGACACCCATATATGCATATGTACATATATTGTATGTATCTATGGGGTATTGTATAATGACAAAAGAATATATATATATATATATGTGTGTATATAGTTAAATGGGTCGACTCTACGTAAAACATGTTAATCATACTATTTGAAGAGTGGTATAAAAATACATTAGATTGTGATTATTCATCAATTTATAGTATTTTAATTTTGATTTTTGTAATTATCCAAACTAAAAAAAATAAATGGATGTGATGTGGTAATTATTAATTAACATTATGAAACTGGTTCAAAAGCATTAATATAGTTACCTTTTTTCAAACAGATATAAAAACCGAAAATAACACCTTTTTTTTAGAATGCAAGTTTCATTAATATGAAAACATAATGTTATGTATATACATATACATATGTATGTATATTCAAAGAAGATGAACACAAAAGGGGATGGACCGTTCCCTAACATAGAATATGGAGGATTTATTAACTATCCAAAAACCTTTGGTATAGTATATGAAATAATCATATATATATATATATATATATATGTGTGTGTGTGTGTGTGTGTGAATATTGATGGGGGGAAAAAAATAAATGGAAAATAATATGGCCCCCGAGAGGAGCTATGATTGACAATTTGACCTAAAGACTATAGTACATAAATTTAGGCGTGCCTACCAAATTAAGTTTCTATTTATTTATTTATTTTAATTTCCTTATGGTAAAGGTTAAATAATTGAAATGTTCAATGAATGTCACGTATACGCACAATAAGAATCAAAGCCATCATCATTGTGAGCATATATATATGTGTATATATGTATATAAAGGTGCAACTAGTGGTGGGCCACCACATGCCACTTTGTTCTATAGTCTGCGAATTAGAGATATGATGGATGGATCATTGAATTTGCAATGATTATAAATTCAGGCTCACAATCACTTCATATCTTCTCCTTTTACTTCCCTTTTTCTCTTTTTTCTTTTTCCTTTTTTTTTCTATTTTCATTTCCATCTAATATTGTCGTCTATTTATCATTGCATTTTTTTGCCTGCTAACCCCCAACCAAATTTCCGGTTTTAGTCACACATATCTATGTACATGTGTGTATATATATATATATATATATGCACATGTTAGGGGTTGAATATTTTTTTTTATAACGGAGGATCCCTAACTACTACCCTTCGGGCGCGTTGACTAGGTAAACCTCCGACCCGAGAGCAGCCTTTGTATATAGATCATATAAATCCAGAAATTATTTTCCTCCCCGTCAGTCAGGAATCGAACATTCAACCTCAAGGTGGAGTTACCTCCTACCTCAAGGTGGAGACCTCATACCCCAAGCTTGACCACTCGTCCACGATCTGTTGGGTTAGGGGTTGAACATTTGTTCTTGTCATCGGAACTAAAAGGACACCGGAAAAATAATGGCGTAACTATATATGAATGAAGCAGATATAAAATACTGTATAAAATCAATTATTATATTTTTTAAAAATCAAATTGCAAATGAATTTGAATAGAATATGGAAAATGATAAAAACAATTATTAAAATAAAATTTATTAAAAATTAATATTTTAAATGAAATTATATGATAGTGATATTAAAATTAATATAAAAATTGAATAGATATAATTTTATACAATTTTGAAAAAATAAAGTAATTAAATCAGGCATGACAATTTCGATGTATGAATCACAATTTTCTATGAACGTAAATTCTCTTTTGCATTGCATCGCATTGTTTGGGTGCGTATTAAATTATTAGGCAATTGATCAAATATATTAACAGAAAAACAAAGGGGTTATTTGGACCTTAAGTTTGTCGAAAGCAACTAATTTATATTACTTTTTATTTTTTCTATAATTAATAATATTTTTTTTAAGTATATTTATTTGTTATGTTCTCTCTTATCTCTCTCAAAAAAAAATTTCTCGTTATATTTTTCGTCTTCAGTTAAAGAAGCCAACGACGTCGCAATCTTGCCATCAAATATTGTACCAACGCTAATGAAGCCAATGTCGGAATCTTTGAATAGTAATTTATAAATTTTATTTTAAATTTTTATGTTTTGATGATTTGGTTGTTTTATTATTTTAGAAAAAAATAAAAGAGCTATACAATTAGAATTATCCAAACTTGGGTAATTCTACCGGTGAATTAGGAATGCAAAACGTCTATTTTTTTTACAATTTTTTTATAAAAAAAAAACTAATTTGATTTTATACCTCAAATCTAACACGTGAAATCTGTTATGGAATGTGAAACCTTTGTAAAATCTGTGGAAACAAGAAAGTCAAACTACAAAATCATAAATCCATCGACAAAAGTCCCAAATAATCGATGTTCAATCTCTTCTATTAAATATATGAAAGTAAATTTGTTCAATGTTCAATCTTTTCTATTAAATAACTAATTTTTTTTTGTAATCAATGAATTGATTTTGATTAGAAAATTAGAAATATTGTCAGTAGATATAAAAGAAGTTAGAAGGATGTGAAAGTAGAAATAAACAGGGGAAAAATGTGAGGTGAGAAACTTATATTCTTTTATTTTAAATTAAGTTATTTGCCATTTGGATATTAAACGGTGTTTTAGATCATTTATCTCGGTATACGTTATAAACACACACACACACAAAAAGCGTTTGCAAAACGCTATTTATTTTTTGCACATTTAATAAATTTCTTCGGAAAACAATCAGGGTTGGTAAATAGTTTTTTTTTTGTAAGAAAATAATATCCGAATCTGGATTTTTTTCAACGAGAATGTATGAGTTTTAAAACTATAAAATCAAATAACTATTTGTTAAAAATGTACTTGTCAAAAGTATTCATATACTTTAAAATTACATGCTGAAATATTTTAAATAATTTTAATAATGATGACATGTACCAGAACATATAAAGTTATCTTTTAATTTTAATTTGATATATGCGATCTATTCAAATTAAAGACAAATTGACGTGTCCCAAAAAAAAATATAGGATTATTGTATATATGGCACAAGCTGATTTTAATTTTTGATGGATATTGTTAGAATTAATATATTTTATATAATAAAGTTATGGAATATAAATCATAAAATTTTATTTTATTCTCCCATTTTTCATAGATGGGTAGTTGAGTTGTTACGCCGTTGTCGTGTTGTCTTAATCCACCAACACTTTTCGTGGGATTTGGATCACAAACATAATGATACGCCGTAATCTAATTTCCCGTTCATATAGCATCTCATATATTTTTATCGATCATTGAATGTTTCCAAACATTTTATTCACCATTCGATTATTCAATTTCCAATATCTATCATTTTATAGATCTTTATAGGAATGTGCAATTGGAAAATGTTTTTACCAACTATTGAATTTTGAATTGAACGCTGGCTTTCTTACCTGATTAAGATCTATCATGAAAAAAAGGAAATTCATATATCAATATACAATTTTTTCTTAAAAAATTGTAGATAAATATATAAATTCTAAAAATTGTAAAAACAAATACAGTAATTTTTTTAAAAAAATTTACATTTAGAGTTAAAGGTTTAATTTTACTACAGTTTTTGAAATCGTTTAAAATTTAATTTCATTATTTTTAAAAGTTTAGGGTTTAATATTAGTTAAGAAAAACTCTGTAACGGGGTATATACCGTAAAATTAATATATCGTGTGACAAATGTTCAAGTTCATCCAATTCAGATACTAGAAAAATGGGACTAGATATAGAACGTTTGTCTTAATCATATATAATATACAGGAAATATAATTAACATTCTCATTTAAAAAATATTTTTAAAAAAACTAATAATTGCTTGTAAAAAGAGAGTCGTATACGATTCCTCTGACAAACCAATTCAGAGATTAAAAAAAAAGGCCTAATGGGCTACATGGGCTTTGTAGATATAACCTTTGAATGGCCCATTGGGCCTTAGGCGCACAACATACACTTGCTGAAATCGACGCCTAGAAATAAATGAACAAAGATCTTCCGACGTGATCTTACCAGAGGCAAACGTTTGATCCATCTAACCGTTTCACCATCCACTCGATGATGTCCGTACCGACTTCTTCACGCTCGGGTTCAAAGAGAAGGTCGTGTAAGAAGCCCTCGTACAGTTTGATGTCCTTGAATTCCGAGGCTGCCTCATTGTACAGGTCTTGGGAGGCCAGAGGGTCAGTGACCTTGTCCGCTGTCCCGTGGAGGACGAAGAAGGGAACGTTTACGGATTTGAAGTTCCGGGTCAAGTAAGACGATATCCGGAGGATCTCGTGCCCAGTTCGAACCCTGATCGGACCGGTGTAGACCAATGGGTCAGAGTACTTGGCTAAAAGCGCCTCAGGGTCTCTCGAGACCGGGATGCCCCTTTTGTTTGCTCCTTTGAATTGGAACCTCGGGGCAAGTAACGAGAAGATTGGAGCTACGGCCTGCGAGAAAAACAACAGGAGGCATAAGGTCTTTTTTTCATCTGCAGTAACTAGTCTTGTTGAGTACCATCTAAAGTTATGGTTCTAAAGCTACATTCAACTCATTTCTACCGAAATCTATGTTATAGCAGCACGAAAGTGTTCTCTGTCACGAAAAGGAAACCATCTTGATCACATTTCTGTTCGAGATTCATGGAAAGATAATAGTTACCGCGACAATAGGATGCGAGGGCTTGACACGGAGTGCTGGTGAGGTTAGTACAATACCAGCCAACATTTCTTCTACTCGGGGATGCGAAGCCGCCTACAAAGAATGTCCCCAGCATAATCAAGACAACATCATCGCTACACAAACCGGCTTTTATGTACATTGAATTAATGGAACGTGTGGCATAATATATAGACGTAACGAGTAAGATCCCTTAGGTTAAACCCTAACATACACAAATACAATAGTATCTTTATAATCACACAACCATGTAGAAATCGTTTTAAGGGTACCTTCAAGACGACTGCTCCACCGGTTGAGTGACCAAAGAGGAAACAAGGGACGCCCGGGTGATCTGATCTGATCTTTTCCAAGAATGCCTCCTGTAGAACAAATTCGGACATGCCCTTTTAGAACTTTGGTTTAGAACAAGCCCTAGTTTCATCTACGACGACAAGAAACAATTACCAGACAGGCTTATCTCACTTCAAGTCAAAGAGTTTTAACTTACCGTGTCTGCAACAACATAATCAAGAGACGGAACATACCCGTGTAATCCATCACTCCCACCATGACCTATACGCAAACAAACGATCATATCTATCTGTTCGAAAGCAGAATCTCAAAACCAGACAAAGAACAAACCAAGCTCATGCTCTTACCAACCCAGTCCATAGCGTATACACCGAAGTTGCATGAAGTTAGCTGCTTAGCGAACTGATTGTATCTTCCACTGGAAATGCAACAAGAAAACGAATGGAGAATTCTCAAAGATTCAGACAAAAAATTCTCAGAATATTCGTTGGTGTCTATGAACTATCAGAACCAATCGATTTTCACCTGTGTTCGTTAAGCCCATGGATGATGATCATAATTCCCCTGTGAATATAAGAAGAGATCAAAAGCAGGACATGCACGGTTTCAGAACACGAAATCAAAGTCCTGTGATTACCCAATTTCAAGACTGCGCTGACAATTACAACGGACAAATTTCACAGGAAACAAGTAAATCAAATCCGAGAATTGCTGCAGAATCTAAACGCTTACTTGAGCTCGCCGGAAATCGGTAACCACGACCGGAAAAAGAGAGCGTTACTCCGGTGACCGAAGAACAACGAAGTGCTCCACCGGCAAGGGACTTCGCCGTCTCCTGCGACAAAACCCATTTCGACGGTCTCAGCCAAAGACCGCCGCCGCATCGTGTCCTCCTCCTCTAGCTTCCACGCCATCTTCCTCATCCTTCGCTTCGCCACCGGTGACTGAGTCTCATCGGAGCTGCTCGCCGGTGGCGGCGAGACGCGGCGACGTGGCTGCAGGAGGAGGAGGAGAGAGAGGACGATTGAGAGAACGAAGATTAATGACCTCTTCAGCGTCATCAAGATCGGGATTATCCGATTGCTCGCACCGGAAGTCAACTGTTCCGTCTCCGACGCCGACGTAGCCATCGCCGGAAAAAAAAAGAAGTTTTTTTTTGTCAGAAATGGGAAGCGTGTACGGAGAAAATGGCAGAAGAGAAATTATGGGGTTTCGGGTGGGGCCTTTATTTTATAGAATTTTGATTTTTCGACGAGGCAAAAGACGACGCCGTAATAATTATAACGGATAATCAATGACGTGGCAATATATAATTGGTTGTTGAGCTAACGGGGTTAATGCCGGACACGATGAGGTAAGTGAAATGGACGGTGAAGATGGGTTTTGACGTGAGAGACTTTGGTTTTGGGCCGTCGATAAGTTGCGTACAGAATTATTTTTAGAAAAACATAGACCGGTCCGACATTAAAAGTAGATGCAGCTGTTGAAAAGGAGTTATTGTAATATATGGTTTTTCTTGCCACATATATATTTATTATTATTTTGCACGATACCTATTTAATACTAAAACAAGAAAGTTTTTATAATTACAAAATTACAAATCTTTCTTTAACTATAGTTAGAATCATATTATATATATGCTATTATTATTTTTGGCAACACATATGTCTAATATTCCCATTAAATTACCAGATCAACTAATTCATTGTTAAGTTTCTTATGATGATATTTCTAAACAATATGATTTATTTTTTTCTAGTGACGATATTAAGCTTTTTTTTATATGAATGGAATATAAAATAGTATCAGGAAAAGTAATTTATTAAAATGTGATGCAGATTTTGCCACGTCATGCCATCCTTCCCAGGAAACCTGTTTTTTTTTTCCCACTGATGAGGAAACATAAACTTACAACTCTATATTTTTTTTATTAATTTGACTTTTCTTTTCACCTTCTTGGAACTACTTGAAATTTACTAAAGCAATCTGATTTTGAAGTATTTCTATTTTTTTTTTGTTAAATCGAATAACTTCGTAAACTTTCCAAAAATTACAGATATTCATATTTATTGTCAATTGATTAGAATTATTATGGTATAATATGTTTTTGGTAAACTTCTTAATATGAGGTATACATTTTTGGCCGACTCATTTCGGGAATCTATGAGACCATTTCGGATACTATGTGAATGCGAATCTGATTGTATTTTAAAATTCGGATCAATTTAGAGATTTGTAATATTTAATTCTAAAAGAAATTTTCGAAATGAGAAAAATGTTATTTTAGATATAGAAAACCCAATAATTACGGGGGACTGTGTTTTCATAATGTTTTAGACTTGAAGACAAAAGCTTTTTGCTTTGTCTGAGATTCTCACCGTGAAAAAGGCAACTTGATATTTTGTGGATACAAATTCAGTGAATATATATATATATATATATATATATTAATTATTGTTCGCAAATTGCAAAGGGAAAGTGAAAATAACACTTCACTCCACAGGAGACGGAAAGGTTTCGACAAAAGCCAAAATGTCATGATCATGAAATGAGAGGCTCTCAGGTTCGCATTTATTTAGCGAATTTTAATTCAAGAATTTGTATCAAGTCTTCTTTTTTAATTTTGACTTGGTCTGAAATTAAATTTTTCTTATTGATTTGTAAAATATAGTTTTTTTAATTTCTATCTCTAACTTAGTTTGGTAAATTATGTTTAGTTAAAATATAAAATATACGTTATTCAATTCCGTTAAAGTTTATATATATATATATAAACAAAAAAACAAGCATTCTTAAAATATGCTATATTTGATCAGATTGTTATTAAATCGACAGTTAGCATATGAAATACAAAATATAAATACGAAGAATAAGTAGCAAAAACTCATTCTTAAAAGGGAAAATCCAAAAAAAAAAGCACCGAACTTTACAATTTTGACAAAAAAAATACTGAACTTTTTATTTTATCAAATAAACACTAAACTTTTTAAGTTTGACAAAATAAACACTTAACTGTTGGGTCTTAAGGGCCCATTGGTGGAAAAAGTGAATCCTCCTAATCATAGAGAGGCTTCGGTCACTTAATTGAAACGAGGCGTTTCAACATGTTAGGGTTTTGAACCCTAGGTCTCGCGACACTTCGTCACTTTGAGCAGCAGAGAAGAAAAGAGAGGAGAGAGGAGAAGAGGGCTTGCGGCGAGCGTACGGTGGAGCCGTTTCGGAGGTCCGTCGTGGAGGCTCAGTGGTAGATCGGTAAGATCCCGGTACAGGTTTGCATCCCTCGGTGATTTCTCTTGTTCTTGTTTCGGTTCTTCTCGGTGAGGCTCCGGATATGTGGAGATCCGCCGAGCTTCTGCTTTTCGCTGTTTCTTTCCGTCTCTAGTGGATTCGCCGGCACCGTCCGGCCGAGATGTAGGCCCGAGCTTGCTCGGTAACCGAACTCGTTAAAACCGCTGTGTCTTCTTCGATTCTTGAACACACGAGCGTCGGAGAGAACCGTGAGGGCCGATACACACTTCACAAAGTGGTATCAGAGCCTGGTTACACGATCCAGGGAGAATCGCCGGTCAGGCGAGGTAAGTTACGGTTCTCGGTTTCAGATTTGTCTGTGTGAACGTGTTAATGCTCTGTTTAAGTGTTTCAAGTCAACGACGGAGGCAAATCGGCGATGGTGGAAGGTAGTGTTAACACCCTCGGGCTCGCCGGCGGCCAGATCTGTCAAGGTGGAGCATCAGAGACCAAAATCGATGAAGACAGATTCGAACCGAGGTGAGTCAGGTAAGTTTCTGACTCGGTTTCTTTATTTTTTCCGCGTTATTCTCCGGTTCTGAGACCGAGTTTCAAAGAAACTCGGTGAACTCGGCGGAGAAGACCCTGATTCCGGCGAAACTCGGTCCCAACTCGTCCGAGTTAGGGTTGAGTGGAGGAATCGGGTGAGTCAACGTCCGAGTCAACTCGGCAGACTCGGCGGCTAGGGTTTCCGAAATTAGGGTTTCGAATTAAATTCGGTTCAGACCGGTTTAATCGATCCAATTTCGGTTAAACCCGATTTGGGTCAATCGAACCTGGTTCGATACGATCCAAGTCCGGTTATCGGCGGTCAGATCGGGTTTGACCCGGTTCCGTCGGTTCAGACCGGATTCCGGCCGGTTCAGTCCGGCTCAGACCCGGTCCCGACCGGTTCAGACCGGTTCACTCCAGTTCGGTCAATTCGTTGACCAATTTGGTCAACAGTTGACCGGTTTAGGTCAAATCGGACCGGTTCAGGTCCGGTTTGGGGTCAATTGGACCGGTTTAGACCGGTTCAGGTCAATCTAGGTCCGGTTTAGGACAATTGAGTCCGGTTTAGGCAAATTCAGGTCCGGTTTAGGTCAATTGAGTCCAGTTTAGAGTAATTCAGACTAGTTTAGGCTGGTTTAAGTCTCGGTTAGGGTCTGATTTGTCTGGGAAGGGCTAGAATTGTTCGGTTTAGACCAATAGGGTCTGATTGGAGTTGAATTAGGGCCGGTTTAGACTGGTTTAGGTCTAATGTGAGGGTCTGTTCGTCCAATTAGGTTAGAATTGAACCGTCTAGGTTAATTGGGTCCGGTATTAGGTAAGATCAGATTGGTTTTAGGCTGGTAGAGGTCTGTTTAGGATCTCATTTATCTGATTAGGGCTTGTATTGGTCGGGTTAGGATCTGATTTTGTGTCTTAGGACTAGATTGAGTCAGTTTTAGGGTCCGGAGTGTATAATTAGGACTAGAACTAATTGTTTAGGGTTAAGATGGTCCAAATTAGGTCTGATGGTGTCTGGTTTAGGGCATAGTGGACTGGTTTAGGGTAGATTAGGATCTGTAGTGATCGGTTTACCTGTTAGGTCGGTCTAGTATCCAAATTTGGCTTGGTTTAGTGAAATATACTAAGGATAGACCTGTTTTAGATCTCGGTTTAGCTAATGTAGGTCATAGATTCCTGTTTCTGTTCAGTATAGGTCTGAATAGGTTGGATTTGACTACGTTTAGTTGGGTAGGAGGTCTAGTTAGGCTTAAATAGGCTGGTACAGGTCTGATATAGGTCTGTAAGTGCTATTTAGGTCTTGTTTAGGTCTGGTTTAGCCAAATTTGGGTCGGTACATTGACCGGTTAGGTCTGATTAGGTGGGATTTGACTAAAACGGGTTAGTTTAGGGGTTGGTTAAGTCTAGAATCACTAGGTATAGGTCTGTAGAGGTCGGTTTAGATCATGGCAGGTCTATAGGGATTGATTTTAGGCGTTTATCGGATCTGATCAGAAGTAAATTAGGTCATATTAGGCTTATTTTAGGTCTGATTAGGTTGTTAAAAGTCTAATCAGGGGTTGGTAAGTCAATAGGGGTTGGCTTAGGTTTGATGATTAGGACTTTTAGGTGATTGACTAGGACTTAGGGTCATCTAATCAGGGGTTGGTCGACTAGGGTTGGCTTAGGTCTGATTAGGGTCGTGTGGTGGTCTAGTCGGGACTTTTGGTCATCTAACTAGGGCTGTTAGGGTCTAGGTATCACTTGGGTAGGTCTGATTAGGACTTTGTGAGGGGCCGGGTAGACTCAGGATCGTAGGACTGGTTAGGACTGTGTTGGGGCTTGGGTAGGTCTGATTAGGACTTTGTGAAGGGCCGGGTAGACTCGGGATCGTAGGACTGGTTAGGACTTTGTTGGGGGCCATGTAGACTCGGTGTTGTAGGTCTGATTAGACGTAATCAGGTCTGGTTAGCCTTAAGTTAGGTCTGGTTAGACGTAATCAGGTCTTAAGGTAGGTTGTGTTTCGAGTCTAATAGGTCGGTTAGGCAAAATTATGCCTAGGGTAAGTCCAATCAGGTTTGTGCGAGAGTCTAGGAGGTCGGTTAGGTAGAAATATACCTTGTGTTAAGTCCAATCAGGTCTGGTCTAGAGTGTGTTAGATCCGTTTAGGTAAGATGTACCTAGGGTGTTGTCCGGTTAGACTTGGTTTAAGGTCCGCTAGATCGGTTTAGGTTGAGTGCCTAGGTTAAGTCTGGTCAGGTCATGTTCTCTAGGTCTTGTAGGTCTGATTAGGTAGAGACGTACCTAGGTTTAGGTCCGATAGATTTAGGGCTAGAGCGTGTTTAAGCACGGCTAGGTAGAAACATACCTAGGGTTAAGTCCTCTAGGGTTTGGTCTCATCCCTCGTGTCATGTTACATCACTCCTAGGGTCGGTTAAGTCTCTTCCGGATAGGGTCAGTTTTAGACTCTTGTTATATCGTCTTAGGATGATGGAGTTAGATTGTCTAGCTCGGTATACCCCGAAAGGGGTATGGTGGAAGGACTAGGGGTCTCGGGCAAAACCCGAGAAATCGGGTTGCAGGAGTAGGCCAAGGACCAGGTGGAGTGAGTTGTTCCGCGGGTAGGTAGGGATACTACATAGAGGATATGTAGATCCCGGATGACGAGGAAGGGAGAGTCCGAGGTAGAAGGACATATGACCTCGGAGGAGTAAACCGAAGCTGCTTCGGTTCTCGGTGGTAGGTCAGGAGGTGAGGTCTCCACATTTAGGTGGAGCTTCCTCGGGTAGGATGCTCAGGAGATGACGTGAGCAGGGAGGTGTCGGGTTTTCACCGGGTAGAGACGGTGTAGGTTGGCGCTAGGACACTCCCTCTCGAGGTGGAGCACGTGCACTCACGTGTCTCATTCTCGGTGGAGCATCATAGATGACTAGGATCGTTTTCACGGGACAAAACCGTGAGACAATTCTAGTTGGCAGGTTAGGGTCCGAGGGTAGAAGTCGTATACCTATAGGTAGTATAGACTTCACGGGGATCCGGGCTAGGTATCTAGCGGGTTTCGGTAGTATGACTCAGGTTAGTCTCGGGGTAGTCGGGTTAGACTCGGGAGACGGGTAGATGTCGGGGTTAACTCTCGAGGGTGCACAGGTGAAGTTTTAGACTTCATCGGAGAGAGTTATGTAGACGGTCGACATCAGGTAAGTGAGGTAAGTCAGGTAAGTTACGTTTTAAATTCCGACGAAAGTCGAGGGATCGACGAAAGTCGATCGGTGCTGGAAACGGCGAACCCCACTAGATTCAATTTTTTTTGGTTTCCCTTTCTCCACCAAGGTGGAGATTGTTGGGCCTTAAGGGCCCATTGGTGGAAAAAGTGAATCCTCCTAATCATAGAGAGGCTTCGGTCACTTAATTGAAACGAGGCGTTTCAACATGTTAGGGTTTTGAACCCTAGGTCTCGCGACACTTCGTCACTTTGAGCAGTAGAGAAGAAAAGAGAGGAGAGAGGAGAAGAGGGCTTGCGGCGAGCGTACGGTGGAGCCGTTTCGGAGGTCCGTCGTGGAGGCTCAGTGGTAGATCGGTAAGATCCCGGTACAGGTTTGCATCCCTCGGTGATTTCTCTTGTTCTTGTTTCGGTTCTTCTCGGTGAGGCTCCGGATATGTGGAGATCCGCCGAGCTTCTGCTTTTCGCTGTTTCTTTCCGTCTCTAGTGGATTCGCCGGCACCGTCCGGTCGAGATGTAGGCCCGAGCTTGCTCGGTAACCGAACTCGTTAAAACCGCTGTGTCTTCTTCGATTCTTGAACACACGAGCGTCGGAGAGAACTGTGAAGGCCGATACACACTTCACATTAACTCTTCTACGATTGTCAAAATAAACAAAATGAATGACGTGGTCCAATGAGACGCAAACATGTCAGATTATTTTACTTAGTTTTTTTTACAATCGAGAAAAGTTCATGTATTTTTTTGGATCACTAAAAAAGTTCAGTGTTTTTTTTTATAATCGCAAAAAAATTTATATATTTTTTGGATCATTTAAAAAGTTTAGTGTTTTTTTAGATTCGTTTAAAAATTTTAATGTTTATTTGATAAAAAATAAAATTCAATGTTTTTTTTGTCAAAATTGTAAAGTTCAGTGTTTTTTTTTTTGGATTTTCCTTTCTAAAAAACGTATGGCGGTTGTGAAGGGAAAAAAAGATAAAGGTTTGAAAATTGCAATAATGAGGGTTGTAATTAAAAAAATACCCAATTTTCGGGTATTCAACCTAAATAAAAAAAATGTATTGAATATATAAAAATAAAATCGCGTATTCGTGGAAATGGTTCGGTCAAATTGGTCAAATTAAGATAAAAATAAATAAATAAATCTGAAATATATCTTTTCTCTCCGTCTCATTATTGTTTTCACTCTCATTCTATATACGAATAATCGAATATAGTATGATACCCGAAATTCGAGAATATGCCCATGACGAGTTTGATATTTGAATTAGAAATCAAATACTTTAAAATTTCGATTATACAATCTATGCGGGAGTTACCATTACCAATGATCATGGATTTTTTTTAAATATATCTGAATTGATAATTAATTAAAATAAATAATAATATGTGGAGACAAGGCAGGAAAAAAAATAATGAAAGATGCATGAATAATGTGAGGGTTGTTTTGTATAGGATTGGGTGTTTAGGTGTTTGATTCGGGTTTTTTTTTGGAAATGGTTTTGTTGGATTCTTTTGTTTTTACAAAAATAGGCATCAATTGTTTATTATATTAAATTCGGTTAGGTTTTGATTTTTATTAAAAAAATAGATTTTCTTAAAAAAATTCGGATTTTTGGGTTTTTTAAAATTCGATTCAATTCGGTTGCGAAAAATTCGATTTTTCTAAAATTAATACCGTTTGAAAATTATAGATAGTTCCGATCGGAAAAAATAATATATTTTTCAGTTAGGTACAGTTCAATCTCGAGTAATCGAACCGAAACATCCATCCCTAATTTTGCATATCGTTTTAGTTTAATATCATATTTCAGAGTCTTTAATTTTGTTTCAAAAAAAACTTATAATATATTCCAAGTTTTTCTAAAAGCCTTTCACCGCCGAATTTATTTTTTTTATCATTTTAAAAGAATACAAATTAAACATATTCTAATACTATAATGTCATTCTTACAAGGAGGTTGATCTCAGCTTTTAAGATTTAAAGTGGAAACAAGTGAAAGTTTTTTTTTTAATATATATCCAAATGAAATTCATTAGGTATGTAAATTAAAATATTAAAATTGGGCCCGAAAAGTTTCACGGGCTTGGGCCACATAAAACAAACAAACATTGAACCCATTTATACCTTTGAGATCAGAACGTCACCTTTGCATAAGACTTTTTCTTCTATGGAATCAGTTGCAAATAAGTATTGGCTTATGGATGTCGGTTTAGTCACGTTGATTGTGATAATATAGTATTTGGCCATTCGATCGATCATATTATATACATATATATATATATATATATATATATTATTTTCGCATTGTTTATCCCTTTGATAACCCGCGATGCGTGAATCTATTTTGTGTAATCTCAATAAATAAATATATAAAAGTATGTGGACCTAAGCTTTTTATTTAATAAAATTACAACTAACCGCGGAATGAAAGACACCTCTCGGCGTTACCCGTTGTTCAAGATAATACACGTGAACCCTTTTCCCTCTCATTTAAGTAAAAGTCCAAACCTCTCATGCTTCCACCGGCGAAAAAGGGAAAAGAGACACCGAACCCTTATAGGGTCTTTTTCCGTGTGTGTGTATATATACATATATATACCACCATGCATGTGTTTATGAAACATTCATATATACACAAACACAGGAAAACCGAACCCTGTAAACAACATAACCATGAACGGCCTTCAACGCACAGTCTCGGACATCTCGTTCGAGATAACCAAAGACGACAGAGCTCTAACCGGCGGCGGCAACAATAATAACAACCAGCAAACAACAACGTTCACGGCATTATCGACGATATCGGAAGTGGAAGACGCCAAGTGCGAGTGCTGCGGCATGTCGGAGGAGTGCACGCCCGAATACATCCGCCGAGTTCGTTCCAAATTCTCCGGGAAACTGATCTGCGGGCTTTGCTCAAAAGCCGCGGAGGAGGAGATGGAGAAGATGAGCAGAAACGATGGAGCCGATGACGCCGAGAAACGGTGGGAAGAAGCCGTCAGAAAGCACATGAGCGCGTGCTCGAAATTCAACAGGCTCGGGAGGAGTTATCCAGCGTTGTATCAGGCCGAGGCCGTGAAGGCGATACTCAAGAAGAAGAGGTCATCGTCTTCTAAGGCAGTGGGGAAAGGCGGTGGCCTCTCCAGGAGCTCGAGCTGCATGCCTGCCATTGCCAAGGAGCTCGATGACCGGACCATGGTTAACTAGTCTATATACATATATATATGTGTGTGTGTGTCGCAGTTACAACCCAGTTACATGTTCTTGCATGAGACAAGGATAGATTATGGTTATATATATAGGTTTAGGATTTATGAGTTTCATGACGTATATTTACGTATATAGATTGATAGATGGATAGATAGATATAGAGGTGTTATTATTTACATAAGGTTACATATACATATGCAGAGAAACATTGATTCTGTCTAATGTATAATTATGAGTAGTTTTATCAATCATTGTATACGATACTGAAGCAGGCGTATATTCTGTTATGTATTTGCGTACATGCATGTACGTATGTATATGTGTACGTGTGTGACATAAATTTATATAAAATTGAAAAAAAAATATATATGACAATCATTTATGAAGATCAGATATATTCACTTCATCATTGTAATCGGTACGTTTCCTCTCCATTTTCAATCTCTCTGGTAATGGGAAGAACAAAACAGGCAACGAAAACGAAGCAGACATCGCGTCGTTTAGCATAACAGAAACGGCACGCGTTGCATCCGTAGAAATCGGATTCACAGGAGGAACCCTATTTGGGCTATCCCTGGGCTTCATTGCGGCCCACTAAATCCAGTGATTCATCTTATTAAAGTTACGTGTTCGCCACGTGTCAATTTCACCACCGCCGGATTCTCTAGCTTTTGACACGTGAGGAACACTCCCGCACTCCTAGGATAGGATCCATATACGATTTTAATATACATAGTCACCATCTGGCGGAAAATTTTATACATTTGACAAATATTATTTTTATGGAAATAATTTATCATTTTTATCTGTAATTTTATAAAATTTATAAAAAATAATAATTATTATTTAATTAGTTATAGAAGACCTGTGACCCCATTCCATATAAAGTGGATCCGCCTTTGCTCACCATATAGTATCAATTATAAGAAGAGGTGAGGAAAAAAAAAGAGATATGATTTTTTATTATTCGTTTTTACCTGCGAGTAAGTGTGAAATGAGTTTAAATTCAATAAATATCCATATAAAAATGATAGTTTATTACTTTTATTACATTTAATATACAGTATTTGTTCAAATATAATCCCTAGAAATTTCGAATACAAAAACCCTTGCTAATAATATTACAATTGATGGATGGGAACATTTATTTAATACCACTTCATGAAATTAAATAGCGTTGAAAAAGGGGATGATGGACTGAATAATACTAAAATTTAAATCAATAGATGTGAGAATAAATGAAATCGATGATGTAATAACCATACGGCATTAAATAAGTATAACCTTATCCGTTATTTCGACATGCGCTCGCGTAGGGATTGGTGTTCTATCAAGATATGGACCCCACACTATTCGCCTGACACGTGTCTCATTTACCCGGAAAACAATGTAATACCGCATTTTACTCACCCTCAACCCAAAAAAGGTTACTTGATTTTCGTGAATTGTATTTCTCCTTTGTTTACAAAAACAAATATATATATAATTGGAGAAAAAGGGTATCAGAGAGTAAAAAGTGAAAAAAGAAACGAAAGTTAAAAAAAACAAAAATGGTACAAATTGTTTTGCTTTTACATTAATACATAATAATTTTTTATTAAAATATGATGATTTATAGTTTTTTTTTCAAATTGAATTATCATCGTATTAATTCAGATAAATTCTAACGAACATAGAGTATTTAATTATAAATTTTATCATTATAAAAATTTAATCTAAATATTCGGTATATATGAAAAAATTCTAAGTATTTAAATTTCTCATTTTTCTCATAACGGGGCGGTTTCAAGTCTACCTAAAATGTATAAAAACCTTCTTAGGAGTCAGAGAATAATATATATATAGGTTTTAATGCATGGATAAAATTATCCAAAAATATGATAATCAATCTGATCCGTGAATATTTGATTCGAAAATTCGGATGTATATATGTTTTGCAAATTGGGTTATGGTAAGTTCACTGCGATATATATACGGAAAATCGGATACGAAATCAAATTTTCATTTTTAAAAAATGTCCCTATAAGTAATAAAATTTTCTATTTGCGGGGTTAGTTATTTTTTTTTAATAAACTGTCCTCTCGTACTTATAATAGATTAACGCTATTTTTTTAATCTGGTTAAACAACATTAATTTCCGACTTACAATTTGGTTGCCAAGTTCGAAACAAATACCAAAATCTATAGTATATAATTAAGTTTAGTCGTCTAATTATTTAATTTGTTTATATATAAAATAATGTTATCCAAAGCAACCAAAAGCCGTAGCAGCGGCCACATGGCACTATGGCAGTCAGTGAGACATAAATTTCTGAAATGAGATCGAGTGAGCCTTACGTTTACCGTTTTAAGATACTGTTTCTTTTGTACATCGGCATTCGCATGAATATGCGCGCATATATATATATATATATATATATATATATATATAATGTCACGTAAATGTTAAGATTCAGAGCACAAATGAGGATCATTGTTTAATTGTCTTAATAAAATATTTGTATCTTATTAGCAATGATACAAAAAAAAAAAAAAAGTAAATAAGATACATTTTTGGAAAAATAAAATAAAAGATGCAAACCGGCTACCTTCTGATCATGTGAGCTGGAAATTGTCGTGCCTGGAAGTGGAATCTCACGAGAAAAAGGGATAAAGATGATTAACAAGGGATTAAGACGAAGGTTAAGGTAAAAATAAACGAAATTAATGATGAACTAATAAAATATTTTAACACATTTCCCAAGGAAAGTTTTGAATTAAAAAAAAATATGAATATATATTGTGTTCTTATGCTGTTGGATTTTATTTATATAATAATTCGTTCGAGCTCCTGTCAGTGAAACGAAATCGATTTGGTAATGTTATATTCGTCCAAAACATTCGATATATGTTTGCATGGTATTTATAAACGAAATACAATAGAGTAATATGTAGAATGAATTGTAATGATAATAATATGGAATTTAAAGACCCAAACTTGGGTAGTTCATTAACCAGTGAAATGGAGGCGTAAAACGTCTGTCTCATCCCGAATTCGAACCTCAAATCTGGAGAGGGAGTATATAATTCAAAGTACATGGCTGACTTCTATCCTCGAGATAAATTTAGAATTCGATCAAGGATGTTCGGTTATAAAAAAATAATACTATGGATTTTAAAGATAATTAAGGAAAAATGAACATGGCTATAAAAGAATATAAAAGAATTTGGTAGCGTACGTAAATGGTGTGATGTAGAGGGATGGAAAGAAGTCGAAATGAAAGAAATTAAGAATTTAACGTTTGTATTCATGGAGATAAATAATTAAGAAGATTTAAATTTACGAAAATTTGAGAAAACATAATAAAATTTTTAGAATATTACCCAACTTGACTAGGTCAACTAGTGAAATGGAGATCCCGAGTTCGAATCTCAAGTTGGAAAGGGGAACATATATTCTAATCATATGGTTTTACTCATAGTCCCGAGATTAATCTGTAATTCGATTCATGACATCCGATTAAAAAAAAAAGTTTTTAAATACACGGTAAACAAGTGGCATTCCCAACGTATGTATGTATGTACTATAACTTTTTTATTTTTCCAATTTATAATTAAAATTCGTAGTTGAATTTTTTTTTCATAATTTATAAGAAGGTGGAATAATTCCCTCCATTACTGCATTCTACACTTTATTTATATTCATATATGATAAATAAATTTCCAGCCAATTCGATCATGTAAATATTTTATATACACATATATGATACTCAAATTTCTAGGCTTTTTTTATCTAATGTTTCCTATTAATTAACAAAACATTAAATTTAAGACCTTTTTTTTTTGTAAAATCTGAATTTGAGATGGATAAAATGTTTTGCATCTCTATCAACCGACACATAATTGCTCTAAGAGAATATTACTAACATATTTTTCTACCTTTATATATATATTGAGAAATAGTATGTGGTGGATAGATAGAGGAAGTCAATTCGGTCCGTTTGTTAAGAGAATTAATAATAATGGAGTGACTCGATCCGGTTTAGAATACGGACCAACCAAACCGGTTTAAACCGATGGTTAAGGCGTGGAACTTGATAACCACTTGGCACATGCACGTGAGGGGTAGATTTTTGTAATTTGAAGCAACATTATGACCCTTTCGAAATATGGCCCCACCACTTACCATAATTGCCCGTCTCGAGTCTTGATTGGTTCGTTAATTAGTTGTGTCTTGATTGTTTCCATATCTAAACCTCTTTTTTGCAATTATACAAATTTACATTTAACATTCACATATTATCTATATTTTCGAATATTTTTATATATTGTGTTATTAAAATAGAAAAATTAATAAACATTAAAAATCGTAAATTTGGAAAATTAACAATGCCCAATTTCTATCAATGCCAAATTATTTGATTTTTTTAATATATATTAATTGTATATTCTCTAAAAAAATCCTATTGAATTGATTTTTATATATGGGCAATTTGCTCATTTTTGTAGTGTGTAAATTGATTAATTTTATGGGAAGCTATATTTGTCTTTAAAATGCAAGCTCCATTTAAACATATAATTGAATTGAAAAGTATCACCACATTTAACGTGGTGGATACATTTGGAATTATTCATCTCAATCAAATAAATTAAAAACTTCACTTATGCAGGCAATGGTGTTTGTAGTAAATTCCATGCCAATGATGTTTTTAAAATAAGTTTTGTAACAAGTTCTAAATATAGAGAGGGATTTACATAATAATTCTATGATAACAAATTTTTTTTTATAATTCTAATTATTGTTTTGTAAATTGAGCTGAAATATAGTAAATCATGTAACAAAAAGTTTTCGATGTTGTTTCAAACATATAAGATTGTAGAGGGAAATGCAATTTTTGTATGAATTTTTTTTAAAAAAAGATTACTAATAGAGATTTTTTAGTTAATTTTTATAAAATATTTTAGAACAAAAGAAAACGGATATGGGGGGAATGGGTTGTTCTTCTAACATCACATGGACTGTTCCTCAATCATCTATTTTTGTTGATAATCGAATCTATTTTTTTAATTACCCATGAAAACTTCTTACCCATATATGGCCACAAATATACGCATGCACGTATATAAATGTCTGTATATGTACGTGTATTTGTACAGTTGTACATGGTGAAAATGTGTAAAATTAGTGAGCAGAAGAAAGTAAAAAAAAAAAATAAGAAAAAGAAATAAAAATGGTAACTTTTTTTTTTATCCATATGAAATCTCCCTTCTCCTCGGCAACACCCTCCGTTTTACGTGTCCCTCTTGTCCCCTTCTAACGCAAAATTTTTTTTTTTAAGAAAAAGGAATCAACGTTATTCTCTCTCTCTCTACAAAAAAAACACCATAACTTTCTCTAACTTCACTCCCTTTAACCCACATTTCCCTCACTCACACTTCTCTCTCTCTCTCTCTCTAAAAATATCTCCGGCGAGAATCCACCGGAGAACGCTGTGATTACGTCCTCATGGAGGCGGAAGCACCGGAATTCTTCCACGCGCCCGATCACTTCGCCGTCGATGATCTCTTGGTCGATTTCTCCGACCATGACGACGACGACGATGAAAACGATGTCCTTCCTGACCCCGACGCTGACGTGGCCACAGCCCTCGCCGACAGCTCCAACTCGTCCTCCTCCTCAGGCAATGGCCCCACCAACTTATCCGGCGACGTTCCCGACGGTACCAGCTTCTCCGGCGACCTCGGCGTTCCGGTAAACACAAGATGACAAAGAAATTATACAAAATTGCACTCTTTCGTTTCACTGTTTGGTAATTATTGTTGAGTTTTTGAGGATTTGAAATGTTTTTTTTTTTTTGCTTATCCTCCGGACACAGTACGATGATAACGAAAATTCGAACAAAAAAATTACAGAGATCGTAGTGTTTTCGGCTGGAAGATGGGAGAAGAGTGATTTTCTTTTTAATTTATTTTTTGAATTTCATGAGAATCTGAATTTTACTTTACTTCTCCGGAACAGAGATTGCTCTGTTTTGGCGTGGAAAAATCTGGAAAAAAATCGAGTTTTTCTTCGTGGGGTTTCATTTTTCGGTAATTATTTGTCAAATTTTGTGATAATTTGAAATGGGATTCATTAAATTTAATTTTTTTTGTTTGTCTCTCTCCGGACACAGTACGATGATATGGCGGAGCTGGAGTGGCTGTCGAGTTTCGTTGAGGAATCGTTCGCAGGCGAAGACGTTCAAAAGCTGCACCTCATCTCCGGCTTCACCAAGACCCGACCCGAATCCTCCAACCCGAACCCGAATTCCACCAACAGCTCCATTTTCACCGCCGACGTCTCCGTTCCGGCGAAGGCCCGTAGCAAACGTTCACGCGCCGCCGCCTCCAACTGGGCATCCCGCCGCCTTCTCGCCGTCGACCCTAACACGAACCCCACCGAACCCGACGACCCCTCCATGGCCGTCTTCCCTCAATCTCCTCCGCCGCCGCAGACCCAGAAAAAGTCCGGCGGTTGGTCGAGGAGGAAGGACGCCGGAGAGGGCGGCGGAGAGGAGAGGCGGTGCCTGCACTGCGCCACCGACAAGACGCCGCAGTGGAGGACTGGTCCGATGGGTCCGAAGACGCTGTGCAACGCGTGCGGAGTGAGGTACAAGTCAGGGAGGTTGGTGCCGGAGTACAGGCCGGCGGCGAGCCCGACATTTGTGCTGACGAAGCACTCCAATTCTCACCGGAAGGTTATGGAGCTCCGGCGACAGAAGGAGATGATGAGGGTCCAGCATGAGTTCTTGCATCCGACGGATGATATGATCTTTGACGTCTCATCCGACAGTGACCACTTCTTGATCCACCAGAGCATCGGCCCTGATTTCAGACAGCTGATTTGAAGCACCTTAATGTTCTCTCCTTTTTTTTTTTTTATTAAAACAATTTTCTTTTCTTTAGATCAATTTTTTTTTGCTAATTTTCATTATCATGTGTTTTTTTCCCTCTTTTTTGTGTTTCTTGGGATTTGGTAGAAATTTTTGTTGCTCTAATATGAATTGGAGTTTAGTTTTTATGTTAATCCTATTCATAACTTAATATAATGTTATATATATATATATATATATTCAATGAATTATGAGAAAAAATAGAACAAAATTTCGTCTAAAAGGGTGAAAGAAAATTAGATGAATGTTATATTTTTATCTATTGATTTATAAAATTGGCATTAAGAGTTTTGATACAAATAGAAATAGTAAAGTGAACAACTATCGGAAACCAAGCGAGTCAACAAGTAAAACTCTATCTATATGTATGTAATTCTATATATAGACACCGTGTATTATTATTATATTACTATGCATAATATCAGTTACAATTATAAAATCTATGATAAAATTAGTGACGGGAAAAAGGTAATTTGTCATAATTATTTGCAAAAAATATATTAAAAAAGGAAAATGATAATCGAACAAATGGAACTTTTTCCTGTGTGTGTCTATATAAGGTGTGGTGAAAATAATAATGAAATCTTGGTGGGATAGTGTTTTACTGTAGGTAATGTGTCACCTCATGGCCATGACCGCTTATTGTTTTGTAGCACAAGTTAATGCATTGCGCATATATACATATATACATACATATATATAATGCTGCTAGCTGTTAAACAATTTTTTTAATATATTCTGTTTTGTTTTGTTAATAATCTCTTATTTTATTTTTGATTGGAAATCTCTAATTGTATTATATAAATATGTTCGGTCCATTTTGATTTGCCATTTTTTTAATTATATTTCCAAATCAGCTACCAGTCTGTATATGTGATTGATTTCTCAGTTTCGGACAATTAACTAAAATGAAAAATGACGCAATTTTTATAATTGAATCTTATGTAAAAAGATAACTTGTAGGAAGAAACAAAAAAAAAATTATACAGAAAAATTATAGGAATTAAAAAATACTCTAAATAATATTTTCACGATCGATCAAACACAATTGCGTATATAGTTTTATAATTTATTTTATTTTTCAAGAACATGTATGTAATTTAAATTTGAAAACACGTCGTCGCAATGTTCACTTCATCCAGAAAGTGGGAAATTAACAATAGATATAGATATTACAAGTGTGGGGATATCATTTAATATCCATACCAAACCCTAACATGGTTTGAATTTTTTTAAAAAACAAAATCTATTTATATATTCTAAATTAATTAATCAATTAGTATAAGCTTAGTTTGCGGTGGTCACATGCTTCTCATGCAGATAGAGAGTTGGTCGTTTTCACTACGACAAACGTATATCAGTTCATGGATCCGTAGATGTGGACGTACCCCATACATCATCAATTACTAAATTTTATTTATTAAGAGTATCAATATTAAAAAAAATGAACAATTCATATATTTTTTTTTACTAGAATAAGTCTCATCCAAATTATCATCAAGTATATAATTTTAAAAAATTTCAACGAGAGACGTAATTACATACACGCATCCGTCCGTCGATTGTATGCAATGCTCGGTAAACTTAGTTAAATAAATAAATTTTATCATCAATATTGAAATCTAGAATAAATTAATTATTCTCGAGATAATATCAGATCGTTGATCTATATGATTATAAGTAAATTAATCGATGCATATCAGTGCAACTGTTCCCATGCACACACATATCTGTGTACATATGCATTATATATATATATATATATATATATGTATATATGCATGAGGGATCAAAGTTCCATGATCATGGTTAGTGGATCGTGTCGATTTTATCTCAACCATTTTCTACTGACAGCCCAATTAATAATTTATATAATTAAAGGTTCATTATTCTTAATTATCGTCGTTGTGATTATCATATTCCGTCAGTTGCCCTAACATGGTAACTAATGACGCTCCACTTCAAAAGCTTGAAACCAGTCAGCATCATGTGATCCCTATCTGTATGCATCTATATATAGCCGTATATCCTACTCGCGTATACACACACACACACGAATGTATGTACATATACGTATGTGTAAAGAATTAGAAACCTGATGAAGCCGAGCGAAACCATTACAATTCCAAACCGAAATATCGGTTTTATTTGGATTTAATTTTCTCATATGGGTATTACAAATGAATCCCTATAATTTTTGGAATATCATGAAATTAACCTTAATTAAGAAGAAAATCAAATTTTACAAACAGATGTATGAAGAACTTAAATTACCTCATGAGAAGGGATGGGCTGCCGTACTCGGGACAACAACACGATGGACTAACCGATCTTATCTATATAGAATGTCACGTGTCCTTTTCCCCTTTTTATTCCACGTAATGAATCAGCAAATATTTATACATATATCATATGCAATTCCGGATGCCTATAATTTATAAAAATAGAGTATCATCCAAATATAAGATTTGTTGGGTATTGGGGTGCCGTTTTGGTTTTCGGTTCGGTATTTAAAAAATTCGGTTCGAAAATGATATTTTTGGTTTTATAAAAATGGTATCAAACTAGAACCGAATGTTAAACAGTTCGGTTTAGTTTTAAGATCTTCATAGTGTTATCGTCAATTAATACCAAATAAGTACTAAACCATAACATTTAAAGATATATTGGTGGATAATTTGGATCTTGATTCGGTATTTGTCATATTTTGTTCGAAATCGGTTTATTCGGCTGTATAAAAATGTACCAAAACATTTTAAAGGAATTCTACTTGGACTCAAAATTCTATTAACAAAACACCAAAGGTCAAAACAACAACAATCATAACACCGTGTTAATCCCAAGTTTACCTCGGGTTAGCGATCGAGATAAATACCCGACATAAAATATAACTCGGCCGATGTAAATTAAGGGGGCGACTGGTTGCACCGCCGCTACCCGCAAATGGAACGGTTGCGATTTCCAGCGGTTGCAGGTGATTGAAAAACTGACTGGTTGAACGGCAACCACCCGTAACAGCAGCCAAACTTGTGTTTTCTAATCGCAGTTTCTAACTTGCGTTTTGGTAGCGGTTTCCGGCGTTTTGACAAAAAAATTAAAATATCCTCATTAAAAATTATATAAATCTCTAATATATACATATATATATATATATGATGATTTTGTTTAGTGTTATGATTTGATATTATTTTTTAGTATTATTTAAATAAAAAAATATATAATAGCATACTTTTTAGATTTAATAATGATTATTTTTTAATAATTTTTATAATAAAATTATTTTTTTACTTCAAAATAAATTAAATTGATAATATTTATATTTTAAATTTATTATTTAATTATTATAAATTTAGTAAATAATTTTTATCAAATGATACTAAAAATTTAATTAAAATTATTATAAAAAATTATTTAAAATAATATTTTTTTTATAATTTATATCAAAACGTAAGCGCAACTGTAACGAACCATTTACTTCTAATCGCACCCATCTACAATCGCTGACAACAACAACTTATCAACCAGTCGGTACTTATCATTTATAATCACTATCAAACGTTCTGATAACGTTGTCACCCGCAACCGCAACCACTGCGGTACAACCAGTCGAACCCTAACAATGTTTATGGGTTTTTTTTTTCAGATGAGGAGATTAATCAATGAGAGAGACTAAGACAAGAATGAGACAGAGATTTCATTTCTTCCGACATTAGGAACGAAGTGCCTTGTGAAAGAGGCATGGGTGGGCTGTGTCTATGTCAGACTTTGGACAAAACATGAGACAAGACAGCCTGACGTTTCTATCTTTCTCTATGCCTTTGTATGCGTCCAAAGCATTCAAACCACATACCAAACGAAAGAATTCATGGTTTATTCACTTAAAAGTATGTGAAGATGAGAAATACGGAAAAGTAAAGTACCATTGAAGAAGGGATACAGTGAATCAGATACCGATGAAATTCCCTGTCTTCTTGGCTTTCAGTCTCTCATCTTTCACCGAAGGCAGCAAAGCTCTGCAAGAGAATCTTGAAACACAGCGATACATTACCCACATGGATAAGCATATATGCTTGTTTTGACCAATTACTTTACAGAAAAAGGGTACATTACATGAACGAGGACAAGAACGGTAATCAGACATGGAACACATTCACGACGTACCAATATCAATGCATTGTTGTCTGAAAACTACTAAAGTCACCCTTTTCTTCTATCAGCCAAAAACATGACATGCTTAGTCCAAAGAAACAATAAAAAGGGTTCTTGTAGAACAATTTCCTAAACCACGAGGGAGTTGTGTTAACGGATGGAAGAATCTAGGTCTGTGGGAAAAGTTCACCACAGGGCATTATATATCGAGTTCGAGTGATCGGATTCCTGCCAGAGTCATACCGGGTAAGAGCCTCCTTTAGCAGTAGAAATCCCGAGGGCTGAAAAACTCTAGAAACACAGTTACTGGTTAATGTAACTCAGCAGAAGCAACACAAATTTTAGCATAAGAGAAGAAGATCCGTATAAATACTCTGTATTCAATGTTCTGAAACAGTATATACTGCAATGCAAAGAGAGGAATCTAAATCCCAACTCAGCTCTCCAATTGAGGCAAATCTCCTTAACGTTTCATTGTAAAAAAGACGATAAAACTGAAGAAAGATTTCAGTGAAGAGAAATTCTTGTAGGAAGAAAGACAAGAGTCTCGCTCTAATCCGACACACACCCGACACGAGCATTCATATAACAACATCAAAAAAAGAAAACAACTCCGATTACCAACAGGAAATGGCATGTGAATCCGAAAAATGTGCAAGATCAAAATAGTTAAAAAAGTTTGCTTACAGATACTAAACACAACATTTGGAGATCATCAAACTCCTGGATTTGCACAGCAGACCACGCCCTGAGACAAAGACCTCGAACAGTTCGAATCGATACCGAGGCACGAAGTCAGCCGAGCTGAAGAAACCACACTGTGCAATGGAAGCAAAGACTGAAGCGAGCCCAGACGAGCCATCGGCCTGAAGAATTGCAGACAAAACATGTTTCCCTCAAAATTCCGTCGGTCCAAATGGTACGGAAAAACGCGTTTCAAATTTAGGAAAAACCAATCAGAATCGTGGAAATGTCACGCGATATTGAATAGAGAACGGCTTACCTCGTAGATCCAACCGAAGAACGGATGCCGAAAAGTGGAGAAGCCGATTTGGACCCGATTGAAGGTTTGTTCATAGCAGATTTAAACAGAGAAGCCGCGGGTTTGGAGAAAGATCGACATCGAGAAGCCATTTTCCCCCAGAAAATGTATTCAATGGCAGAAATCGGTTTCTAGGGCTCTTTCGGAGAATTGCTGAGGTCAACCAAAGAGGGGGGGGTAGGAAGAAGCTGACCTTGTTGGCAAGATGGCATGCATTCCAGAGGTGTAACTAAGAAACCACACGACGTTCAATCCCTCAAGTACAAAATAAAAAACTTCCATTATGATGAATTATGATCTTCTTTAATTTTTATGTAATCGACTTTCTTACAAGTCTTTTCTAAATGATTGAATTACACAAACATATTTTTTAAAATTTTCTGCCGATGGTGAAAATAGTTGTGAATATAGATTTTTTAAGATATTTATTTCCTCGTTGTGTTAATATTATTCTCAAATTATAAGAAACTCACATAGAGGACCCCGTAATTCAAAAACAAAGTTTTAGGGATAAATTTATAAAACTAACAAAAATATAAGGGTCCCGTTGGAAGTTTTCCAAAGTAACTTAACTTTGCCTTCAGTGTAACGCCGTTCTTCGTTTATCTCCTCCACGTCGCCGTTATTCCTCACGTGCGTAACTCCCTTCGGACAACGAATCTCCACAAACCCGTACGAATATACACACTCACATACACATATATAGGACACATGAATATATATCCTTCAACCGCCAAAAAAAATAACGGTATTCACACAACTCCCTGCGATTTCCCCCATATAATTACAATATACATGGAATCGGTGGGATCCAATCACATCCCGCCACGTGTCAACCCGGTGTCCGACAGGATTTACCGGGCACTCCGCCACCGCATTCGTCTCCTCCACCGCCCTGACGCTGCCACGTTCCATGTCCTCGGCGCCACGTCCAACGTCTACACGGTGACGTTGGCTTCGACGCCGAGGTGCACTTGTCCGGACCGTACGGTCCCGTGCAAGCACATCCTGTTTGTCCTGATCCGTGTTCTCGGTGTCCCTCTTGACGACACGTGTCTCCGGCGCCGGAATATCCGCCCATGCTTCCTGTACCGCCTCCTCTCCGCCCCGACTCGGCCGGACTGCCTCGCCGGGTTTGCTCTCCGTCAACGGTTTCTTCAGCTCCTCTCCGCCTCCGTTTCCGACGCCGGTGACTCGGTTACGTCCACCTCCGCGGGTAAAATGGTAATTATTTTTACACATGTTTTACAAAAGAAATTGAGTTTTTTTATATAGTTGATTTTTTTTTGTTAAGAATTTTTGTTAATTTCTTAGAGCACTATCATGTTTGCGATGTTTTGAATTTGGTTCAAGTTTTCCTTGGCAAAACTAGATTGTGAAATTGAACCAACTTTTATGTGACGTATTAATATGTATACATACACAAACATACGCCATGATATACGTCTTTGTGATAGGTTGAAGAGGAAGAAAACGAGACGGGAGAAGGAGCAGCGACGTGTCCAATATGCCTAGACGAGATTAACGCCGTCAAAGTTAACGGGGAGGAGAGAGAGAAAACGGCGGTGCTGAAGTGTAGGGTATGCAAGAACAAGGTGCATGAGGAATGCATGGGGACGTGGAGGAGGAGCCGTGGACGTCGGCCGGCGAGCTGCGTCGTCTGCCGTGCCCGGTGGCGGAGCAGTAGGGCTAATTACGTGATTAGCCCTAATGACGACGGTAATCACGGCAACTGCTATCTGAATCTTGCTCCCTATATCGGCCAGGACGAGGATGTGGTCGGTACGAGCCATTGGTCTTGTGCAGGTTGAAGAATTTAATTAGTTAAGCTTAAATTTTATGTTACAAAATCATATTATAATAAGATTTCGTTGTGTACAAACTTTTATATCAATTATAGATTTAGCCCTCCATAGTTGGTTCGATTGATCGATAACATATATATATATATATATATATATATATATATTGATAACGATTTTACATATTGTCGAATGTATCACGTCGAAAAAGGTCAAACCAATTTTAATTTTTACATTATTTCATTGACCAATAAAGAAAGGAACAAATCGATATCACTCTCAATTCTTATGATAAAATTTTGATTACAAAAGAGAGGTAGACCAAAATAAATATCTAAGATTATGCATAAATTCAATACTTTGGGAGTTTTTTTTTTAATTTGTACTATATAATGGATAGATGTTGCTGTTTTCGATCAAAATCTTATTCATTAATGGTATAAATAAATCAATTCCTTCTTCTGAAGATGATTTCATATTTTTGGTCAAACGTTTAAATGTATTCTGTTCAAATCAACAGGAATTCAATTATTATTGATAATAATAGAAAATTCCATAAAAACTTCCCAATTTTAAGAATGAGAAAAGTTGTTTGACCGAATAAATTAAAATGCCATGTCAGATTTAACAAACGGTGAACTAAACGCCGGCCGGTATTTAATGGGTATAGATTTGGAATAAATTCTTTTATTTGTAAAAGCATATTTGGCAAATATTTAATTGGGAATTTTTGTGGTACGTTTCTGAAAATGGAAAAGCTTTTTTTTTTGGAATGTTTCCTAATAATAATAATAATACAAGATATAATGTATATGCGGCAATAGAAAATATTAATTTCCTTTAAATATCTAATTTTCCAAAACAAAAAAGAACAACAGTTCTCTATTATAAAGAGAGTCCCAATGGCATGAATTTCTGCAACCAATTATAAACATTTTTCTTTGGTCCGTCTCTCTCTGTTCACACAACAGTTCCAAAAAGAATGGAGAAACTCTCGATCAAGATTGCGTTCATTGCCCTCTTGGTTTCTCTCAGTGGTAAATCTATATATATCTTTTTATTCTTATATATATATATATACATATGTATATGTTTATATACGGTTTTGACAGCATGTTTTATAGAACATGAGTTTTGATGCAATTATTTTTACATTTAGTGATGACACCGATGATCGAGGGAAGAGTCATAATGGTTGAAGAATCGAGAACCAATGGGGATGAGGTGGTACTGCACCCACAGAACAAGGAGTCGTGCGAACGCCATCGAGGTTGCCACTGGGCATGCCCTCCCGTCGTTTTCTACAAATGCCATTGCTTTTGCACCGAAATTTAATTACATTGTTTTTTGTTCCCAAAATAATATTATATAAAAACAAGTGATATGTACCCTTATTTAATACTATTCTATTGGAACTATTTTATACAAAAATATAAATATTAATGAATATTCATACTATTTCGATTCTTGTTCTCTGTTCCCAAAAACACTTTTGTTATTCAGCATTTTTCTGTAAGATTAAAAACTTCCATTACGATTGTTGGTCTTCTTTAATTTTAATGCGTTAGTTTCTACAAATCTTTTCGAAGAAATATAGCAACATATTATAAAATATTTTCTGCCTATGGATATAGAATAGTTGCCAATATTGTTTTAAAATGTATCACAAATACTATAAAAGTACCGTATATATATAGATTTTAGAAGGTATTTATTTCCTCTTTATGTTCAAATTAAGAAGCTCATGCCTCATATAGAGGACCCCGTAAATGAAAACAAAGTTTAGGGATAAATTGGTAAAAATAACAAGAATATAGGGGTCCCGTTGGAAGTTTCTGATACCTTGTCCCATTGGTTACCAAAGCCCGGTTTACCAAAACCAATAGACAACCGAGTAACTTCATGTTTGAATTTATGGTAAAATTGAGGCGAGTTGATTGCCTCTCCTTTTTAAAATAGGAAACCAAACATTGAGAATCTCGGAAAATTCGTAACTTCCGTTTCCTTGGATCACGTGATTATCACGTGGCGGATACGGTGAAAACTCATATATTATGTTATGTATATGATATTATAGATTTAATTAATTTTCCCGATGAAATTCAGAGCTGACTCATGTGATCCCAGAATTCTAGAAGCGGAAATGGATTCATCTTGGTTTTATCAAAACCAGACCGAGTCTTTTTTCTGAAGCTGAAAAAATGTTGGGGTTTTATTGGAAAGAAACACTAATTACGGGGTCTTTTACAAAATACCATAAGCCATTACCGTACCTCGTGAATGTTAAAACTTAGTTTCTTCAAGAGCACAGAACTTTTGATAGTGACAACGGACACCCAATAAAAAAAAGTAAAGAAGTAGCCGTCAAGTTGGTCTTTCGTCTCTCTGTTTCTGATTCGTCTTCTTCTTCTTCTTCTTGGTTCTCCTTCTCTATCACTTGAAGAAACACAAAGAAAGATCCATCCGACATGTCTGAGGTTTCAGCTTCTTTGCTTCCTCTGTAAGTGATCTCACAACTCGAGGCGTTTCTGAAACGTTTCCCCCTGTTTTCGCCTTCCCCCCCACGTGAATCACATGACTTTCACCATAAAGTGTATATACTGTTAAAGGGTTTTGATCGATTTGCTGTGATGAAGTTTTATGTTTGTTCATCGGATAGTTGAATTCTCTTGTTCTGGGTTTTGATGATTTAATCACCCAGATGATGAACTCAGCTTCAAACAGTGGAAAATTACCTTTTTTTCTGGATTTTTCAGGAACTCCATGGATTTCTAGCACTTGAAACTCGAGTTCTTGTTGTCATCTCAGATGGATCAGACCCGGGTTTCTCGACTTCTGTGCAGAGCAGAGACCGGAAGACTTGTGCTTCTGATAGTAGTTGCGGCTTCTGCTGTGTTAGGCCTTCAGTATTCCGGCCGGCCGTACAGACAGTTCTTGAACTCGTTTCTTGTTTCAACTGGAAATGTTTCGGTTTCCGCAACGAATGAATCATCAGAAGCTCCGGAAAACGGTACACAGAAGATTACAGGTTCTGCAGTTTCGGTTCACGGGGCAGAATCCAATGATGACAGAGTTCATCCCGGAAACGCTACTTTTCTTGTAGTACAAGAAACGTTGTCTGCTTCTAAACCGTATAACAGCACAAACGTGTCGCAGAGTTTAGACCAGAAGCCTGTGAATGGATCTTTGAGACATGTTGAAGATAAGGAAGAGGCGTTTGGACGAAATGGAGGCAACGATACTGAAAGTACTCAGCTTTTTTATCGAGCTAAGGTTCCTAAAGACGGCAAGAAACAGACGAGGAGCTTCAAGAAGCCACCTTCCAAGGTCATATCGATAACCCGGATGAAAGATATGCTGCAAAAGAGGCATAGTTCCCAGAATTCGCCGGTATACAGATGATCTCACAGAGAAAGTACAGGGTTTTTTTTATGTGAAGTTTATAACTTTTCGTATGATTTCCGAATTTTATGTTCATATATAGGCACCTCGTTGGGAATCAAAAGTGGACAAAGAGCTTGAATCTGTGAAAACACAGATCAAGAATGCTCCACTTGCCGATGATGATGCCCTTTACCCGCCTCTTTACAACAATCTATCCCTCTTCAAAAGGTAAGCAAATTCTCCAGTGCACTAATCCGTAGGAAGCATGGAACTGTGTTCTGTAATGAACCCCTGATAATGATTCACAACATTGGATTTTGTCAGGAGCTACGAGCTAATGGAGAAGACGCTGAAGGTTTACATATATTCAGAAGGGGACAGGCCGATATTTCACCAGCCAGAAGCAATGATGGACGGAATATATGCGTCGGAAGGATGGTTCATGAAGCTGATGGAGAACAGCAAGAGATTCGTCACGAAAGATCCGGGAAAGGCTCATCTCTTCTACATTGCTTTCAGTTCAAGAATCCTTCAGCAGAAACTGTACGTTCGGGAATCTCATAGACGGAGAAACATGGTTCAATACCTCAGAAACTACGTCGATCTCATCAGATCAAAGTACCCTTTCTGGAACCGTACTGACGGATCCGATCACTTCTTTGCCGCTTGCCACGATTGGGTATGTACCAAAATTCTCTGCTGAAACATTCAACACTGACATGAAAACCAAATCTTTTGAGATATTCTATATGTTATGTATACATATACATAGGCTCCTGCAGAGACAAGAGGGCCATTACTGAGCTGCATAAGAGCACTCTGCAACGCCGATGTGGGGTCAGACTTCGTCATCGGAAAAGACGTTTCTCTGCCGGAGACGAAGGTATCTTCGCCGGAAAACCCTAACGACGGCGTCGGAGGAAACCGTCCCTCGAAGCGACCGATTCTGGCTTTCTTCGCCGGGAGCTTGCACGGCTACGTCCGACAGATCCTCCTCGACTACTGGACCTCGAAACCGGACCCGGACATGAAGATCCTGAACAGGGTCGATCACAAATCGTACGTTCGGTTCATGAAACGGAGCAGATACTGCGTTTGCGCAAAAGGGTACGAAGTGAACAGCCCCAGAGTGGTGGAGTCCGTACTGTACGGATGCGTGCCGGTGATAATTTCCGACAACTTCGTACCTCCGTTTCTGGAGGTTCTTGATTGGGAATCATTTGCGGTGTTCGTGCCGGAGAAGGAGATTCCTAATCTGAAGAAGATACTTTCGAAGATTCCTAAGAGGAAGTATGTGGAGATGCAGAGGAGGGTGTTGATGGTTCAAAAGCATTTTATGTGGCATGACCATGAACCGGTTCGGTATGATCTGTTCCATATGATTCTCCACTCGGTTTGGTATAACCGGGTCTTTCAGACTCGCTAGTCAGATTAGATCTTGATTTGGTCATTATTTTTTTTTCCTTTTTTAGTTTTCATTTCTTTGAATGTGTACTTAATATTTGGCAGAGAAAATGGTACATTAAAATTAATATATAATTAGTTAAGAAAATTCTTAGACTGCTAGCAGAAAAATCATGGACGATTTATTGTATAAATATTTTAATGATTACGTGCTTGTTTTTTCCCCTCTCATGTCAAATAAAAACTATTCAAAACTGTAATAATGTACGTGGTGTCAGCTAATCCAAAATTTATTTTACATAAGCCAAAAAAACAAAATCTGGTTAGGAGATAAACCGGAAAACAAACCGATTGGTACGAGATAACCCCCCAAGGATATAATGGTCTTTTGATATAAGGTGTATGGTACACGAGACCGCAGGAGATCTTTAAAGTACCGTTAAAACGGCAAATTTACCGGCTAAAAAGTACACGCGATTAGTAGTAGTTCTTCTCATCTACATTTTTTATTTTTTTTCTTTTACTTTTTTTCCCTTTCTCCAACAACCAACCGAATTCTTCATTACATAAACGAAAAAGCGGCAAGAGTTCATCGCAAGTTGCTTGTTTTATTGATCTTTTTTTGTCTTCGATCACAAGAAAATTGTCGAATACCAAACTGAATTCAGAGAAAGATTCTAGGTTTCCATGGCCACAGAGATGAAACCCGGCGTAGTTAAGCGTGAAAACGGTGATGGGTCTTCTCATCGAAAGATCGATCCTTCTGTTAAAGACAAGAAGAAGATCGAGAGCTCGAGTAGGCAGAACATGACTGAAACCAAACCCAGATCTTCTGTCTCCATCATCTCGGCGAAATCTGAGGTACAGATCTTTCGCATCTCTCTGCGTTTCGGATTCATTGAGTTCCTGGGTTTGGGTCGGAGAGGAGGAAAAACAAGAACATGTGATTGGGATTTCTGGATTTTGATCAAACAGATGAGACAAGATCATGTAATTTAGGTTTCTGGGTATTGATCGAATGAACAAAGTTTGAATTTTTGGCCTGGAAGTTCGCCGAATTAGGGCTTCTGTGAAATTTCCTCTTGTTTTAGTTTTTAGATCAATCAAATCATCTCCATCTTTCGGAATCTTGGTCTGATTAAGGCCTCAGTGATGAATCAAAGAATTGGGTTCATAGTTAATTTTGGTTAGTTTCTATATCTGTATAAATATATATATATGGTAATTGCAGATCCCTTTTGGGCACAGTGATTTCTGTGTTGAGCATTTTGATGAGTTAGAATTTCACCAATTACTCAGATCATGAACTGTGTGTGATATGTTCTTCTGCAAAATTTTGTGAAGGCAAAGTCGAAGACGACGATAACTTCACCAAAATCCGCCGTGACAACGAAGACGACGACGACAACAACAGCAACTTCATCGTCTAATACAAAGGTTAAAGCCAAGAGGGAGAAGAAGGTCTATTCATTGCCTGGCCAGAAATACGATGTTCCTGAAGAGGTTATTGTCCTGAGCTGAATCTGTTTCCACTTGTCTGTGTTTTTCGTTTGTCTGTCGTGTTCTTGATCCTCGGTCTATGTTTCGGGATTTGCAGAGAGAGCCCCTGAGGATCTTCTACGAGTCATTATCGAAACAGATTCCCGGAAGCGAAATGGCAGAGTTCTGGTAAGCTTGTTTACATGTTCCGCCGGAGAAATCGCCCGGTGACTAGTTACAGTTAACCAGTACTGCATTGCTTAAAACTTCTGGGAATTTTCGTACATTTTCTCCCCCGGGCCATACAGAAAATGTCGTGATCAAGTGAGACCCCCGAACAAAAGCATCGTCCTCATGCCGTTACAACCTCGAATTTGATTTTTTTTACTCACCCAAGATTCTTCTGGAACAGACGTTTTCCTATTCTTGTTGTTCTTTCTCTGTTCTAAGTTTGAATCTGAATGAATGATTTCTTGCAAGCCCGAGGGTAGTTTTAAATAGCATATATCGAAATCGAAACGAAACAAGTATCTTTCATACTAGGTTTCCACTTACTGTCTTAAACCTCTTTGAATTGCCACTAAACTTGGAACATTGGTCCCTGGTCTTCGCTGTGTAGGCTAATGGAGCACGGAATGCTATCCCCCGAAAGGGCAAAGAGAGCGTACGAGAAGAAGCAGAGAAAGCAGAAGCAAATACGAATGGGAACCCCCATTAAGCCTCCGCCGACATCTTCTAGCAAACCCGGGATTTCACATAAGACATCGGTATCCAAGAGCAATCTAGACGCCCGAACAAAGAAGAAACTCATAGTCGATGATGATGATGACTTCATTCTTAGTCCGAAAAGAAGGAAAGTATAAATTATAAAGCCGAGAATATCCGAAGAAGGATCATTTTAGTTCTTGATGTTCGTTGAATAAGCGATAAAAGATGGCATCTCGGATTTCTTACAATGTTTTGCTAAGATAAGAATGATACTAAGTATCACCTTTCTTTCATCAAGCATTTCCTAAGAACCTGTAATCCGGTTCACCAGTTTGTAAGACCTGAGAAGGCTTAACCGGTCTGAAAATCCAACCGAACCGAACGGTGATCTTAACCAATTCCGAAACAGATATGTTAACAGATTCAAGAAAATTGCCTTTCATGTTTACCACAGCAGCCGCAGAAGCAGAACCGATCTGTTGTAATGAACCATGAACCAAACTAAACCATTCCGGTTAACAGATCGGTTTGTTAAAACGACCCCGGTTAACAGGGCCGTTTCTTGACCACAAACACTCTGTGATTGAAGGAGCAATCGCATGTGACAAACAAGAAGCAGAACTCAAGCTGCAAGATTCAGAGACCAATCACAGCCTCTAGATTTTTTCTCGGATTTATTTTTATATACTATTTATAAGTATTTTATATGTATATATGAAAGAAAAATATAAAGGGGAGAGAAGGCAGAAAATAAAGGAAGACGGTGATTTTTGATTTGATGTACTTTGGAGTCAGAGGACATGTTTTTCTTTTGTATGTTTTGTCTGTCTCTTACACATCCCTATGTTTTCCAACTCTTCATTATTTCACTTCCTCACACATATACATATACATGTATATATGTGTGTGATGTGACATTACATTTTAAGGTTAAAAACACATCATAAAGCCGCGGTAATTTCATTTACTTCATCCGTATATTCAGTATGAGAAATTAATGTGTCAACTTGCATGGAATTTACGTAGTCGTCATATGTGTGCTATTTTGTAAATAATCATTAAGCTCTGTGATTAAATACTTTTCAGGTTTTGAAAACGTATTCATGTTTGTTGACATTTCTTACAAAGAAAATTTTTAAATTCTGAATTTAAAAACAGAAGAATTCTGAAAACGGCGAAATAAAAAAAAGTAACAAAAAAAATATTTTTTACTAACTTTTCAGAATATAAGAATAGAATTGTTAAGAAGTTTAACATGCTTAATAACTAGAAACATAACAAATAGCATTGATATTTATATATGCATATATATTTAAAATTTATGATGTCTAAATTTTGAAATAACAATTATGGGTATATAACTTATGTTGGGACTCATTGGATTCGTTTAAACGTGAATATGTTATATGGCCACAATTAATTATGTAAGATAGTATATGCATATCAAATGTGTATATATATATATATATATGTATAAATATTTAATGCTGTTAAATATCAAGGTCCAGTCTTATTAAATGATTCAAAAAGTCAAATAAATGAATAATTAAGTGGTTTTGAGCATACAATTTAAAAAAAAATAACATAACTTGTAGTAAATTACCATATATATATTTGTAATAAAAATAGAAGTTTATAACCAAAACAATACAAACCTCTTGGTTTTGCTCTTCATTTAGATTCACCTTATTTATTACCCGTTTAGTCATAAGTGAAAAAAGGTATTATTATCTGAATTAATTTAATTCTTATTTGGTAGATACTTAAATACACACCATGATTTACAACCCTTAGATTCCAATAAAATCTATATTTGAGAGTATTTGATATGTTCGTCCGGAAAAAAAAATCAAGATAATGCATTTTTCTTTTGTTTGTCTAATTTTAATAATCTAAAGTCAAAATAAATCAAGATAATGTATCTGCAGAGACTTCGGAGGCTTTGACATATATATATATATATATATATATACACGTATTTATATATGAGCAGACCGAATGCAGGATTCATTGAACAAAAATGAATTTATTCATTGGTTTATCTTATCGAGAAATACACCGTCTATTGAATTTGTTTGTATATTATATAAACCATGCAGACTAGCAACACACTTGGAAATAATTCACTTGTACTGTTACAAATTACATTCATACACACATATATGTGTATATGTATGTTAGCACCATAACATTGCTAGGATATGAGACATACATACATATTTATATATGTGGGTGTATGTGGGCGTGTATATATGTATGCAACTCAAATATGTGTTTTGGATTTGAGTAGGTCCAAAACGACAACCACAAACGCGTTTGGGTGACCACACGCCATAGGCTAATTATCATGTACCGTAAATATCACATCGTCTGTCCTACTTTTCGAGGTGTCTTGGACCGGCTTTATAGTTTATACATATATATATATATATATATATATATATATATATATATATATATATATATATATTTATTTGATTTATACATTTATTCCCGCCCCAAAAAAAATAGAATATTTATTTTCACCTTGTAAAGCCACGCCACGTTTAACAACTTCTTCTCAATTCTATTACATGTTATTATAAATAAATATTCCAAATCCATTTTTTATTCAAAATCCCTTCTTAAATTGAACCCTGTAACAATCCGGTATTTAAGCATTTCCATGAAATATAATATTTATCAACATCGACTTATGTATAAACGCTAAACTGTGTTAATATCGATAATTTGATTGAAAACATATTTTTTAAAATATTTTCTTAATAAAAAACGAATTTAAATTGAAAATATATGACATAAAACTGAATATATATAATTTTTAAAACTAAAAAAAAAACAAATCCAAAAAATAATCAAATCGAACCTCAAAATAGCTAACCCTAATGTTATATATCTTTAACCCTATTATTATAGATAAAACATTATGATTTATCATGGCTAATAATAATAATAAAAAAAGGGCCAGGAAAAAAAAAAGTCTCATTCGAAAAGGCATATTTTGTACCTTTTAATCTTTTGTAGCCTTTCTATGCATATGAATATAAGAACCACATTATATGTTGAAATTTAGTTTCTGCTGCCTAAAAGAAATCTTTTTGTTTCCTCTTTTCTCCAAGTGGGGTTTCTTCATTTATTAATAATTTAATACACATATATATAATGTCTATATATGTATGACACAGTGATCCTATATATATGTCGTACCATACATATATTTATATATACTCCAAGAAATTGAGGCCACATATTTCATATTAGGGTTTGTGTGTCATATTTGTGTGATGACTCGTATTATATATATGTGGTGTATATGTGTCTACATCTGCACTTGTTGTATAGATCTCATGACCAGCATATATACATTCACATACACATGATTTTCCGATGACATCCGAGACCACGTAACGTGATCATATACGATTACATGGAAAAATAAAGCCTCATTTTTAGCACATGATCAAATGATCCATATATATAGGCATTGTAGAGTGATTTTTTATTTTATATATATCACCATGTTTTGATATTTACTCGAATACATATAGTTTATTATGTATTATTTTTCATTATGTAGTTTATACATACATATCCGTCTTTTGTTTAACATCTCGGTTCGAGTGCTGAACATTATGTAATATTTTTTCATGTTACATGCATGGCAAGTAATGTGCTGGTGTGTTTGTGTGCGTGCACACGTGTACGTGTATCGGAACGTAAGGGTATTATCGTAAAATAATACATATTCCATATTATTCCCTCGTATATACATATACACTACAAAGAAATTGAGACGGATGCTCGTTGAATCGGTGGTTTTATATGGGATTCGATTCTATATTAGTTTATTTGACTTATTTATCAACCCTTAAATATTAATTTATGTTTCACTAGTTAAGGGCTTTGCACATATAATAATATCATAAAAAATACAGATTTTTTATTTATTTATTAATTACAACTTTATATTATGAAAAAACTAAAACCCGTCAACGTGAAAACTATAATACACTTCAATTCGCCTAATATATGTTTGCACAAAAAGCGATGATGTTTTATTTCATACACACATATGAGCTTGATTTGTGAAATACAAACCAAGTACGAACGTAACCCAACCAAACAGGTCATTATATATTTCAATTCATCTAACATAATCTAATCAAGTAATTGGTAACAAACTAAGTTTGGATGACCTAGTGGTAAGATTCTTATCCGGGGTTCAAATCTAAGTATTGAGAGGGATATTCACCTCGACTCCCTCGATCTTTTAGAAGGTGTGGTTGGGTCAAAGGCATGGTGAACTTCCGAATTATAAAAATAAATGGTAAAAAAGATAAAATTGTAAACGGAAAAAAATATATATTATATGTATCATTCAGTCTCACGCAGTAATAATGCTTGCAAAATTCAGCAACTAAATTATTTTCCACAATTATAGCATATATTCAATGATACGTTATATCCAATAAATAAATGGCATTGCGAATTCATTGTTTTTTTTACATTTTTTCTCTTTTTAATATTTATGTATTTATTTGCTGGCATTCGTGCATTCCTAAGTTCGGGACCGAGTCTCACCAAATGCGATCCATTAAATTTTATATAAAAAAAAAGTAGTAAATAAATTGCATAAATATGTAAGATTTATTCCATAGGCAGTCGAGGGAGACATTTGCAGATAGATACATTGTTTCTCCGAACCTGATCAAGATTCACATGAGTTATCATCTTACAAGGACATCACAGAGCATGCATACGCCATACATGTGTCTGTAGACATTCATCCATGTATGTAAATGCGTGTGAGTGTGTGTATATATAATATATACAAATATTATACATAAAAGTTATGGTAGTGACGAACATGATGATGATGCATCGAGAAGAAGGTCAGGATAAGGGATAATTAAACAGTGAAATAGAGGTGAAAATTTCCTCATCGCAAACCATCGTCTCTTTCTTTTTTTTTTTCAAGAAAAGTTATAAAATCTAGAAATGGACTAATTAATCATTATAACCACATAAAATCTCAAAACTCACCGTTATTTGTATCAAATAATAAAATTCTTTTTTGTCGGCAATGAATTATAATTACCGTCCATTTTGCGTATGTGAATTGAAAGAGATTAATTCTTAATCTTCAACAAAAGAATCTGTTTTTCTTTTTCTAAATCCAAACATATATAATAAATTGTATAATAAATACAAAACTTTCAGTGGGTCCTTTTATTTTTTTTTATTTTTTGGGTATTTTCTTCTTTATTTCAGTAGTCTCTTGGCAATGTGTTGTTGATATAAATTTATATATGTCTCACCCCACCACTCCCACCCCCTCACAATTGGCACATATTATAAATGTTTTTGTGTAATTGAGAAATGATGAACAAATAAGAAACATTTCCATTTTCCTCAAAGTTTCTCACTTTCCTCATTCGGTCCGAATACAACAAGAGATCTGTCGAATTCTCAATCTCTTTTTTATATCTTTCCACCAAAAGTTCTTTCCTTTCTTGCATATATCCATTGATCCAACGTGTGTGTGTGTATATATATATGTCCAAATCGTGTTAGACGTTGGTTTTGCTCTGAGACACAATGGTGGTTTCTCCGAGCTCGGATTATGGCGATCGTACGGCCGAGAACTCGACGACTCACCAACTCGCCCACAAGTCGGGTCACGACTCGGCGAGTGAGGAGGGGAAGAAAACCGGGTTGGAGAAGGGGAAACGGGTCAGGGACTCGGGCAAGCACCCGGTTTACCGAGGTGTCCGAATGAGGACGTGGGGCAAGTGGGTGTCCGAGATCCGTGAGCCTCGGAAGAAGTCGAGAATATGGCTCGGCACTTTTCCGAATCCGGAGATGGCGGCGCGTGCACACGACGCGGCGGCGATAAGCATCAAGGGTGCCTCCGCCGTGCTTAACTTTCCGGACCTCTCCGGATCTTTGCCCCGACCCGTTTCGCTTAACCCGCGGGACGTTCAGGCCGCCGCTCTAAAAGCCGCTCACATGGAAACGACATCGTCCTCCACTTCTCCGACGTCGTTTTCGTCCTCTCAGTCGTCTTCTTCGTTGGAGTCTCTCGTTTCGGCGATTGACCTGTCTTCTTCGTCGTCGGGAACCGGGTCAGAGGATCTCGGGGAGATCGTGGAGCTGCCGAGTCTTGGAGCGAGTTACGACGGCTTGGCTCAACTCGGGGGTGAGTTCGTGTTCTCTGAGTCGGTTGATTTCTGGGTGTATCCTCCACCGTGGATGCAGAGCTCGGAGGGAGAATACGGGTACGTTAATGGCGGAATGCCCTTGAACCCTGGTTTCGACGGAGTCTTGTCATCATGGGATCTCTAACGCCGTCTTTAATGATTACTGTAATAATGTGAAAGAGTTATTGTGTGATTATTGTTAATCTTGTACTTAATCACTTTTTCTAAACCCTTTTACTCTTTGTGATTTTTTTTTTTTTTGATAAAAGGGTTGTCTTTTATTTTGTTTGTGAGCTCCATGAATACGTGTACAGAACTGTATTAATGGGGCAATTGCAAAAATACCCTTAAATGTCGATTTCACTTACAGCCCATACCCTCGCACAGTAACAAAAAAACGACAACATCAAATATACCCTTATAAATGTAGAATCTCTATAATACCCTTCCTTTATTTATATAATATTATAATAATATACTAAAATAAATAAAATATAGATCTACTTTTTACTCATTTTCTCTCTCCTCTTTATCGTTGTCTCCCGCCATACATCGCATTCTCTCTCTTCGAGTTTTTCTTCTTCTCTCTCTTGAATATCTCTTCTCCAGCGCGATTTTTTGGTAAATTTGCTGCAAGAAACAAGTGAAATCTCAAAAAACTCATCCAATAAACGTAGATGTAGTGGTATTGCCGCTTATAGTGGAAGAAAAACGAGTAAGTGGAAGGTTTAAACAAAACCGATTTTCTGGACTTGGT